CGGGAAACCCACAAATGATGACTGACTGCGATAGAGGTCATTTCTACAGATGTACAAAACAATGAGGAATTCCCACAGAAACACAGATCCAACATATCTGCTTCTTTACAAGTTTCTGAAAGCATTATTGACTATTAACATGAAACAGAAAAGTTCTATAGATGGATGTTTCTGAGAACATTTGGGAAAAGAAATCAATTATCTTAAATTTCCATACAGAAAATTAGCCCAATCAGGAGGAAATTTGATAAAAAATCATCAAAAATGTGTTTCGTTAGAAAGCGTTGACCAGACAAGAAACAGAGATGTAGATTGGTTGCCATGGGAACTGGACATGGCTGTACTGAACATTTTTTTTACCCTTATATTCTTCTACTGCGTCGTGAACAACAACGTTTACAATTGGCGTTGTTACTGCTGAAAATACACATACGAGACACAACCGATCAGACAATACTCAACAGGTTTAGATCATGTCTGGGTTTCACTAGAACATCCTTTATCCTTATACATCAAATTGTCACGTAAACAAATTATACAGTGAAGAAAGAGTGAAATATTTCACGATTCAAGTGGTTAAATATCGAGTCCTTTTATAGGCTACTTCTACAGATGTAAAACATTGATAGTCTAGAGAATTGGAGAGGTTTTTTGATCTCAAGGTGAACCCAGACAGATCTTAACACAAGGATTAGTGACTATATAGGGTTAGTAGTCAGCCAAACGTCTGTATGATGAAAACTCCCACGACAGGCTGACGATGGTGTGATGCCGTACACACCATCTACTATTAAACTGTCCAGGGGCTGAGGTTGGAGTCAACAAAGACAAAATGTTCATTTTCAAACCATTTAACTGACTTTTTAAAACTTCTTAACACATATGATATAAACTTTTGGAAATACAATATTTAATGTGTTGATATATCAGATGTTTTTTTACTTAGAACTGTGTGTTAATCATTTTAAAAATGTAGCATGTTTGTAGGACATCAATTATTTATGAAAATATTTATATGGTTCCTAAAATTATTTTTAATGATTTTTAACACCTACAGCTTTTTGTGATATTATTAACTATCTACTTATCATTAATAATACAGAAAATTGGTAGCCATGGTAACCTATTTGTCAAGTCAAAAGTAAAGCAGCATGACAACAGTTGTCTCTCATTGCCAGCAAGTATTCATGTTGTATAAACAGGAAATAAAGATGATAACTATCAATACTTGGACAGAGCAGAAAATCCCTGGCTGGGCTTTTATAAAAATTCTGTTCCAATAACACCAATCAAACCTGACTTGTATACTAATGGTTCCAGGTATAGGGATCTCAGCTGTGCGTTCATGTTTTGTTCAGTATTGGGGACCCAATAGATATTTGTCTAACTTTAGGCCAATCTCAGGGTAGGATGCAATATAAAAGCATTACTGGACATCTTAACAGGTGGAACATAGCATTACCAGGACCTCATGCAGATTCCAGGTACAGGATTAAAAAGGGACTGACACAACATGAACAATGATCATCAGAACTTTGACCCCAAAAATGGAAACAAGATCAAAGCTCAGGATCTCCAGAGATTATGATGCCTGGGATGGAATCACCAGGGACTTGACCCCAGGTACAGGATCACCAGGGACATAGACCCCAGGAACAGGATCACCAGGGATATAGACCCCAGGAACAGGATCACCAGGGACGTAGACCCCAGGTACAAGATCACCAGGAACATAGACCCCACGTACACGATCACCAGGGACATAGACCCCAGACACAAGATCAACAGGGACACAGACCTCATACACAGGATCACCAGTGACATAGACCCCAGACACAGGATCACTAGGGACATAAACCCCAGACACAGGATCAACAGGGACATAGACCCCAGACACAGGATCACCAGGGACATAGACCCCAGACACAGGATCACCAGGGACATAGACCCCAGACACAGGATCACTAGGGACATAAACCCCAGACACAGGATCACCAGGGACATAGACCTCATACACAGGATCACCAGAGACATAGACCCAGGGACATAGACCTCATACACAGGATCACTAGGGACATAGACCCCAGACACAGGATCACTAGGGACATAGACCCCAGACACAAGATCATCAGGGACATAGACCTCATACACAGGATCACCAGAGACATAGACCCAGGGACATAGACCTCATACACAGGATCACCAGAGACCTAGACCCCAGACACAAGATCACTAGGGACATAAACCCCAGACACAGGATCAACAGGGACATAGACCCCCAGGTACAGGATCACCAGGGACATAGACCCCAGACACAGGATCACCAGGGACATAGACCCCAGACACAGGATCAACAGGGACATAGACCCCAGACACAGGATCACCAGGGACATAGACCCCCAGGTACAGGATCACCAGGGACATAGACCCCAGACACAGGATCACCAGGGACAAAAAAACCAGGTACAGGATCACCAGGGACATAGACCCCAGACACAGGATCACTAGGGACATAAACCCCAGACACAGGATCAACAGGGACATAGACCCCAGACACAGGATCACCAGGGACATAGATCCCCAGGTACAGGATCACCAGGGACATAGACCCCAGACACAGGAGAACCAGAGACATAGACCCCAAATACAGGATCACCAGGGACATAAACTCCTGGTACAGGATAACCAGGGACATAGATCCCAAATACAGGATCATCAGGTACATAGACCCCAGACACAGGATAACCAGGGACATAGATCCCAAATACTGGTTCACCAGGGACCTAGACCCTAGACACAGGATAAACAGGGACATAGACCCCAGACACAGGATCAACAGGGACATAGACCCCAGTCATAAGATCACTAGGGACATAGACCCCCGACACAGGATCAACAGGGACATAGACCCGAGACACAGGATCAACAGGGACATAGACCCCAGACACAGGATCACTAGGGACACAGACCCCCAGGTACAGGATCACCAGGGACATAGACCCCAGATACAGGATCACCAGGGACATAGACCCCAGACATAGGATCACCAGGGACATAGACCCCAGGTACAGGATCACCAGGAACATAGACCCCAGGTACACGATCACCAGGGACCTAGACCCCAGACACAGGATCACCAGGGACATAGACCCCAGACACAGGATCACCAGGGACCTAGACCCCAGACACAGGATCACCAGGGACCTAGACCCCAGGTACAGGATCACCAGGAACATAGACCCCAGGTACACGATCACCAGGGACCTAGACCCCAGACACAGGATCACCAGGGACCTAGACCCCAGACACAGGATCACCAGGGACATAGACCCCAGGTACAGGAACACTATGACTTAAGTTATGTGATCACTAGTACAGGTGACTTACCAGTGTTGATTCTTTGCTCTTAATTCATTTGATCATATGACTTCATGATTATATCTTAGTCCTTCATTACAATGAATTTACCCTACTTTAACTTATTAACCTTATTCTGTTGAGTTTTAAATTGGCAATCATTGAGAGTTGGCTGACATTGTTTAGAAAAACACCTATGTAGAATTGGTAGATGCCAAAGTACAAAACGGTGAGATAAAATCATGGTTAATTATACTTTCTTACTATTTCCAAGCTGATTTTGTTGTTTCAAATTAATTTTTAATACCACTTTCGTTAAAATGTGGTGTTTTGGGTCAGTAACAGGTACCGATACTCAGACTAAACCCTCACTGTAATCATTTTTTTGTTGTTGTCTTTTTAATTTTCTGTTTTAATAAAACAATTATTTATAATGAAACAAAGATTTAATTTAAATTTAGCACATTAACATCAAAGTTAAGTACAACCTGTTGTGCATTAACTGGAAGGGAAGTAAAGCAAGCCTGTGATTTTATTGTGAAAATAAGTGACATTTCAAAAACTTTAAAATAATGTATTGAATTGTCGGCTTTTTACCAAAGCAAATAAGCAGAAGCACCAGGAATACTTTCCTGAGATACAAAAACATTTTGATGTTTTACAAAATTATAAGCATCTAAAGCTCCACGGTAATTCAGCCTCTGGCACACTGACCTGATAAATATTGTGGGAGTATCAACAATCAAACAATTCAAGGATTTAAATTTGTAAGAGGATTGCAACTTTACTAAAGAGGTTTTATTTTAGGCCAATCAGCAGTTTGATGATATCATTTTTGACCAATCAGGACTCTGATGATTTTGTTTTGGACCAATCAGCAGTTTGATGATATCATTTTTGACCAATCAGCACTCTGATCATTTTTTTTGGACCAATCAATATTTTGATATATATCTCCATGTTTACAATACTCAGATAATGAAGAATTTCCTTATAGTTCTGAAGTTATGACAGCTGTGTTAAACTTAAGGAATAGAAAATAAAATCATTAGTACATTTTCAAATTTCATTGAAATTAAAGCTGTGAGTTAAGGCTGCAGTCCTCGGTAATATCTCACGTGTATAATACGAGACCTAACTACACCACAGCCTGCAGGCCAACATCCAGGATTTTACCTCCAGAAAATTTTTTTTCTCTCATTTAACGTTATATCAATCAACTACAAGAAAATTGAATAATTGAAAAATTATGTAATTTCTCAGGGCTGGATTCCTGGAAGCTGTGATGTTAAAGCGACCTGTTCGGTGTTTGTCGCGGGAGTTGATTCAGTGAACTGTGACAGGGATGTAGCCGTTGATGCATGAATAAATTAAACATCTCTGTTAGGGAATGTTTTTATCATTCAGTGTTAGTAAGATTTTATTAAAGAAAAATAATATAAATATATAGTATAACATATATTTATAAAATCCACAAATCAGACAAGCATATATATATACAGCACAGTATGGAGAATGATGGAGAATGAAGAATTCGGGGTATGATAAGATATTAGATATTTCCAAAAACATTGTAAAAGATGCAATAATTTCTTAGTTGTTGAAATAGTAAAGACAGCATTAAAAGATTCTAAGGATCATACCCTGGCACTCCCCCGAATGATGAAGTCGGATAATTCGCATCGTACGACATGCTTCCATCTCGAGTCGACACAAGTTGCTATAAGTGGCACCATCGTCTCCACAAACAAATTCTAATGTGTCAGGACATTTCTCGGCACAGCGACACACAGGTTTACGTTCAGCATTCAGCTGGCAAACTTTTGGAGGCTCACACACAAATCCTGCGCATGGTGCTGTGGACACAAATTCATATACATGTAGAGTTATAGAAAAAAAACCCATCAAGCTTCAATCAGTTCTCGATCACAAAGTATATGAGTTGTTTCCCTTGCTAATACCAATGAAGATTCTACCTGAATAGTACGGGTGCAATATTTACTTTCAATTTATTATTTTTTTTAAAAAGTAACAATTCGATCTGTGAATTCTGAGAAGAAATTTGTGACATTATCTGATAACAGAAAGGACCAGAGAGGCAGGGCTCTCGATCTGCCAGATTTGGGGCCGAATTCCCAATGCAAAACAGTATCTTTTTTCCCAATTAAGACCCCAAGTTTTCCCAATTCTAAGGAAAACACCGCTATTTTTCCCAATTCTAAGGGCCCCGGGCCCCAGTCCAAAAATGGGCAGTGAGAGCCCTGGAGAGGTGTCACTGCCTGATCATTCATAACTTTATAACATTAATTTCTAGAAGATATATCTGTACCTAGATATCTATACATATACTAACTCAATACTCCTGAAACACAATATCTATTCTCAACAGGAAATTTATCATCATTCTTTTTAATACATTTTCTAATAAAAAGATAGCAAATCGTTGATCCACACATAAAAGAAATTTATAGATATACTGAGTATCCCCTAAGGCACTATATGTCCCCTACCTACGCCCACACTTTATTACATTGTGACAATTTATAGATGGTCTTGTTTGGTGTTATTTCGAAGAAAGAAATAAAAAAACAAGTAACTTATTTTAATGGAACAACACAGTAAATCAGTATGATAATCTGACAATACAGTTTCATTAGGTTTAACATTTAGGCCCACATCACCAATGACGAGTCCGAAAGGGACAAACCAGCTGTCTGATACAGTTTAATTCATTATTTGTCTCTACTCTACTCTACCTAACACTAAATTTGTATTAAATGGTGCTGTGAATTTGTGTCTTTTGTACAATCTTTCATCCTTGTGTAATAATGTTTTATAATATTGTGTGAGTTTGTGAAGTTACACGCTAAAAAGCTGTACGAAACAAAGTCACTTAAGCAATGACAACAAATTTTCTAAGAATAGTAATGGTGACCTTGACCCTGCTATGATATTTGAGTGCCTTACAAGTAATCTCTCAAGGAGTGAAACCACTAAAGCTCTGACAACAATTTTCTAAAAATAGTTTGTGACCTTGACCCATCAACCATGAAACTCAAATTTGCGAAAGATATTTAAAGTGTGAGAATCAAAGAAAATCCCTCCAGTAGTGAAACCCCTTGGGTGCTGACAACGATTTCCTAAAAATAGTAAGGTAAAGGGACCTTGACTAGACCAGACAATCCTGAAACTCGTCCAAGATTATGGTCATCTGTAAATGCAGTTCGATCAAAGATCTATAAGGAATGAAGCTGTTAGACTGATGACAAAGATTATCTAAAAACTGTAGTAGTGACCTTAACCCAACAATTCTAATATTCAAACTTGTTCCAGTTATTTTTATACTTAACAAGCGTTTGAAGTTTGATGAGAGTTCCTCAAGGATTGAAGTCACTAGAGATCTGACACACTTTTTCACATATTGCTCCTTATCCACAATCTTGTACACAAGCTTTATCATAATTTTCAAGGTGATCAAGGGAGGGGCAATCTTTGATGGTTAACCTTCAGTAAAGATCACCAAGACGTTATCAAGTATAGATGTTGTACACAAGATATCACAGACATAATCATGCACCGATGCACAAATTGATTACTATATACCCCTACAGTTACTTATGTGTGTGGAAAGTATCAAAAAAGTATTAATCTTTGATGAATCAATCATCTTGGGAAATCAATATTGTATACAGAGTGAGTTTCTGCCCCGGTATGGGAGGGGCAAGAGTGAGTCTCTGCCCCGGTATGGGAGGGGCAAGAGTGAGTCTCTGCCCCAGTATGGGAGTGGCAAGAGTGAGTCTCTGCCCCGGTATGGGAGGGGCAAGAGTGAGTCTCTGCCCTGGGATGGGAGTGGCAAGAGTGAGTCTCTGCCCTGGGATGGGAGGGGCAAGAGTGAGTCTCTGCCCTGGGATGGGAGTGGCAAGAGTGAGTCTCTGCCCTGGGATGGGAGGGGCAAGAGTGAGTCTCTGCCCCGGTATGGGAGGGGCAAGAGTGAGTCTCTGCCCTGGGATGGGAGGGGCAAGAGTGAGTCTCTGCCCCGGTATGGGAGGGGCAAGAGTGAGTCTCTGCCCCAGTATGGGAGTGGCAAGAGTGAGTCTCTGCCCCGGGAGGAGCAAGAGTGAGTCTCTGCCCTGGGATGGGAGTGGCAAGAGTGAGTCTCTGCCCTGGGATGGGAGGGGCAAGAGTGAGTCTCTGCCCTGGGATGGGAGTGGCAAGAGTGAGTCTCTGCCCTGGGATGGGAGGGGCAAGAGTGAGTCTCTGCCCCGGGATGGGAGGGGCAAGAGTGAGTCTCTGCCCTGGGATGGGAGTGGCAAGAGTGAGTCTCTGCCCTGGAATGGGAGAGGTACACTCAGATATGGTATGGAGAAAAAGTAAATTCTTTTAAATCCTTCTTCTGTTTTAAGGAATGACAGGACTCTGTCCCAATTTAGCCTGAAGCATTCTTGGGTGAAGGAGACTTTTGTATCAATGGTTTTGCATTCCCCTGTGGGAAGAGGGGTGGGGGCAAAGGGACAGGGGCAAAGGAATGGGGGCAGAGGGGTGGAGACAGAGGTATGGGGTAGAGGGGTGGAGACAGAGGTATGGGGGAGAGGGGTGGGGACAGAGGTATGGGGAAGAGGGGTGGGGACAGACATATGGGGGAGAGGGGTGGGGACAGAGGTATGGGGGTAGAGGGGTGGGGACAGAGGTATGGGGGAGAGGGGTGGGGACAGAGGTATGGGGAAGAGGGGTGGGGACAGAGGTATGGGGGAGAGGGGTGGGGACAGAGGTATGGGGGAGAGGGGTGGGGACAGAGGTATGGGGGTAGAGGGGTGGGGACAGAGGTATGGGGGAGAGGGGTGGGGACAGAGGTATGGGGAAGAGGGGTGGGGACAGAGGTATGGGGAAGAGGGGTGGGGGCAAAGGGACAGGGGCAAAGGAATGGGGGCAGAGGGGTGGGGTCAGAGGAAAGGGGGCAGAGGGGTGGGGACAGAGGAATGGGGGTAGAGGGGTGGAGACAGAGGCATGGGGGAGAGGGGTGGGGACAGAGGTATGGGGAAGAGGGGTGGGGACAGACGTATGGGGGAGAGGGGTGGGGACAGAGGTATGGGAGCCAAAGGAAAAATATAGATATAAACCCTTAAGATTCCAAACAAAGCCAGGTCAGCCATACAGACCTGAATCAGCCTGACTTTTATATTTCCCTGGCAACTCTAAAACAACACCACAGCCTAAAGCCTTTCGTCATTCTAGTGGTGTGGATAAGCTATAAGAAGTTATTTGAATTGAATTAACAGGCAGATAACCCTTATTTTACAAAGATGATTATAAATACCTGCAGGAAACTGCAGACCTTAATATAGATTTGGAGACATATATATTACCCTTATTTATTTGGCAGTAATCTCCCCATACATTTCGTCTTAAATTTCTAAACTCGATAGAGTGTCCCTTGGCTTACAACAGGTATATATTAGGGTAAAAGACACAAAATATTGCCAATGGAATCATCGGCCAGGAATCCACAGATAATTTTTATAGGTAAAATTTGTCATTCTACATTTTTTTTCCAGGTCCTAGTTTAGAATCTAAAATTTCTACTCAACGAATACATATATATGTCATTGCATGCAGTACTTTATAGCCAAAACATCAAAACTCATTAAAAAACATTTAGAATGGAATGAATTTTCATTTCTCAAAGGAAATTGTTTTGCCAAATATTATCAGACTTATCTCCAAACCAAATCTCCTGCTGTCAATCTCTGGAGTAAAGTGTGTTGTGGGTCTTGTTTGCCTTCCTATACAGCTGGTTTCTTATTGATTTTTACGATTTAATGGACAAATTAACCTCTGTGCTACGACTAATCAAATTCCATTTCCTGTTGGAATCCATTATTAGCCTTAAAATCATCTCCAGCTACCTTTAAAGGCATTTATCAAACTAGACAGTCAAAATCAATACTGTCATTACTACATACATTGCATGTATTTGTTATCAACTCTAACAGAATTTTTCAAACAATGCATCATTAATCAGATACGATTATGGTTTGGCACGGATGTACATTTGTATATCATAAAAACAACTCCTCATCATTAATTGATCATGGTTCAGGGATTCTCATCGTTAACTGATCATGGTCCAGTGATCTCCATCATTAATTGATCATGGTTCAGGGTCTAGCAGTATAAAATCCTAACATTTAAAAATATTTGTACTTTTCAGTTTTTGCCAACGACATTAAGAAAAGCCGACTGTGATTATAGCATATCACTGTAATGGGTGACATACATTTACAGATAATTCAGACTGACCAGTAATGGGGATAACTCTTAACACAGTGTAGACTGAACAGTAATGGGGATACCTCTACCACAGTGTAGACTGACCAGTAATGGGGATAACTCTTAACACAGTGTAGACTGACCAGTAATGGGGATAACTCTTAACACTGTAGACTGACCAGTAATGGGGATGACTCTTAACACAGTGTAGACTGACCAGTAATGGGGATAACTCTTAACACAGTGTAGACTGACCAGTAATGGAGATAACTCTTAACACAGTGTAGACTGACCAGTAATGGGGATAACTCTTAACACTGTGTAGACTGGCCAGTAATGGGGATAACTCTTAACAGAGTGTAGACTGACCAGTAATGGGGATAACTCTTAGAGTGTAGACTGACCAGTAATGGGAATAACTCTTAACACAGTGTAGACTGACCAGTAATGGGGATAACTCTTAACAGAGTGTAGACTGACCAGTAATGGGGATACCTCTACCACAGTGTAGACTGACCAGTAATGGGGATAACTCTTAACACTGTGTAGACTGACCAGTAATAGGGATAACTCTTAACACAGTGTAGACTAACCAGTAATGGGGATAACTCTTAACACAGTGTAGACTGACCAGTAATGGGGATAACTCTTAACACAGTGTAGACTGACCAGTAATGGGGATAACTCTTAACACAGTGTAGACTGACCAGTAATGGGGATAACTCTTAACAGTGTAGACTTGACCAGTAATGGGGACACCTCTAACACAGTGTAGACTGACCAGTAATGGGGACACCTCTAACACAGTGTAGACTGACCAGTAATGGGGAAACCTCTAACACAGTGTAGACTGACTAGTAATGGGGATAACTCTTAACACAGTGTAGACTGACCAGTAATGGGGTAACTCTTAACACAGTGTAGACTGACCAGTAATGGGCATGACTCTAAGACAGTGTAGACTGACCAGTAATGGGTATAGTCGCACCAATGGGGGATTTACCCCTAACAGACAGGGTGGACTGACCAACAGGTGTTATAAAGTCATGACAGACAGTATAGACTGACCAGTGGTGGAAGTACCCCTAACAGACAGGGTGGGCTGACCAACAGGTGTTATAAAGTATTAACAGACACTGTAGACTGACCAGTGGTGGAAGTACCCCAAACAGACAGTGTGGACTGACCAGTGGTGGACATACAACTAAAAGACAGTGTAGAATAATGGATTTATCCGTATTAGGTATGTGTAGGCAGACCAGTGGTGGGTGAATGCCAAACACACATTGTAAACTGGCCAGTAGTGGACAAATCTGTAACAGACTGTATAGACTGACCAATGGTGGATGAACACCTAACAGACTGTAATAGACTGACCATAGTGAATTAAGCCCTATCAGACACTTTACTACCGATGTTCTATAGATGCTCTTTACCTACAGTGCTACTGCACCTTCTGTAAGAACATAACTGCTATCAAATACTTCCTTTTTATATCTATCGTCAACCACATGAACAGACAACGAGAAATAGTGTTTCTAATGAGCCCAGAAACAACCACACAAGATTTATACTAAAATCAATATTCCACCAAGCTGCTCCATTTATATGGGAATGGCTGAGTCCTTTTTCTATTGCATTCAATACAAAACAGGAAGCTTAGCTTCAACCCTCGAACCGAAGAACATGGAAACTTGACAGACTAAGACTGACAATATTTACAGTACCCATGAGACCCAAGTTTCCAAGCAGTCTTTCTCGGTACAAGGTTGCCTTAAGTTTCAAATAATATGCTTGACTTGGCACAAAGCACAACAAGTATGCCCGGTAACACAAACTCCGACACTTTATTAAAATGATAGTCAATTCTGTGCCAAAACTTTTAGGCAGTGAAGTAACCTGCATGAAACACATTGGTAGTATCAAGTCTCCTTCACACTTAATAACACATTATTCATCTGATCATATTGAAAAATAGACATATACATGCAGGATAAATGTAAAATTCAACAAGCATGGAGAAAAGATGTCCAAAATTAAACAAGAGTAAGAACAGAACATGGGGGACTTGAATTCTTCAAGGTCGAAAATTTGTGTGTATAATGATATTCTTTAATTTGTGTTTAACTTGATATTCTATAATTTGTGTATATCTTGATATTCTATATTTTGTGTATAACTTGATATTCTATA